AAAAAAAAAAAAGAGAGAGAATATCAGTTTTTTGAAATACGGGAGAACGGGGAAATATCTGGAAAGGAATTGGACGGGGCCAGTGGGGCTTCCCCCGCGGACCTTAATCGGAAGGATCAAGGAAAATTTTTGGGGAAGCCGATGACCCCGAAACGTCGGGGTGCGGTTGGAGTTTTAAGCCCCCGAATGAACCGGAAGTCTGGCCCTCTTTTTCCGGCGTGCATTTTTCCTTGGGAAACTCAGTGAAGCGGCTAATTTTTTTATTTTTTTTATTATTTTTTTTTTTTGTAATTTTTTTTTTTTATTTTTTTTTTTTTGGAAAGACATCCGAAGAACGGAGATAGGGGCACGGCCGTTACGAACCAATACTTTTCTAGCAGTTTCTACAAAAACTTGCGGTTTTGAAATCTTATGTATTAAATTTTATTGTAAACATACAGACGCTTTGGGTATGGCTAAAAGCAATTCTCTTTCGCAATAAGTAGTTTTGGGGTGCCACTTCTTTAATTTTCGGGTCCTCATCCCACCGGCGTTCGTGGTACAATATCCATCCAAAACCTCATCCACAAAGGAGATTTGTTCAGATGCTTGACGTTTTTAGGCCACAATACTCATGATAGTTTCTAGTGTTCCATGGGCGTTTAATCTGTACCTCCAATTATAGTCCAAAGTGTTAGGCATTGTTGGTTTGTCGTTTCGTTTACTCATGTGCATACAACAAATGCAAAACTGTTCAAACCCTTGTCGGAAGGGGTGGTAAAGAAGGAAATTGCGAGAAAAATAAGTGTTTAGGTACAGCTAGATAGTATCGCTATTCCAACCTCCAACTATAGTCAAAGTGTTAGGCATTGTTGGTTTGTCGTTTCGTTTACTCATGTGCGTACAACAAATGCAAAACTGTTCAAACCCTTGTTGGTAAATTGCTAGAAAAATAAGTGTTTAGGTACAGCTAGATAGTATCGCTATTCCAACCTCCAACTATAGTCAAACTGTTAGGCATTGTTGGTTTGTCGTTTCGTTTACTCATGTGCGTACAACAAATGCAAAACTGTTCAAACCCTTGTTGGTAAATTGCTAGAAAAATAAGTGTTTAGGTACAGCTAGATAGTATCGCTATTCCAACCTCCAACAATAGTCAAAGTGTTAGGCATTGTTGGTTTGTCGTTTCGTTTACTCATGTGCGTACAACAAATGCAAAACTGTTCAAATCCTTGAAATTGCAAGAAAAATAAGTGTTTAGGTACAGCTAGATAGTATCGCTATTCCAACCTCCAACTATAGTCAAACTGTTAGGCATTGTTGGTTTGTCGTTTCGTTTACTCATGTGCGTACAACAAATGCAAAACTGTTCAAATCCTTGTTGGTAAAGAGAAATTGCTAGAAAAATAAGTGTTTAGGTACAGCTAGATAGTATCGCTATTCCAACCTCCAACTATAGTCAAACTGTTAGGCATTGTTGGTTTGTCGTTTCGTTTACTCATGTGCGTACAACAAATGCAAAACTGTTCAAATACTTGTCGGAAGGGGTGGTAAAGAAGGAAATTGCAAGAAAAATAAGTGTTTAGGTACAGCTAGATAGTACTGCTATTCCAACCTCCAACTATAGTCAAACTGGTAGGCATTGTTGGTTTGTCGTTTCGTTTACTTATGTGCGTACAACAAATGCAAAACTGTTCAAATCCTTGTTGGAAATTGCTAGAAAAATTAGTGTTTAGGTACAGCTAGATAGTATCGCTATTCCAACCTACTGTATAGTCAAACTGTTAGGCATTGTTGGTTTGTCGTTTCGTTTACTCATGTGCGTACAACAAACGCAAAACTGTTCAAACCCTTGTTGTAAAGGGTGGAAGTAACACTCGGCTGTCACTCTGTGAGTTCAACACATGTTGTGCAACCACAGATTGGTCCACTTCACTAACCTCCTTGTGTTGTTTGAGACTGGTCGGTCGCCAGGAATTTGTCAGCATAGGTATACAGCCTTACAGACTTGATTTTATACTTCTTCACTCCTCAAACTTTCCAATGGTAGCACACATAGAGATGGAACTTGGTATGTATGCCTATTACATCATTTCCATGATGATTACATGTTTACATGATGACCGCATATTGCCTCAGGCACTTTTTCTTTAAAACTACTTCTTAACTCCTCAAACTTGCTAACTGTAGCACGCATGGAGGTAAAACTTGGTGCGCAAGTGTATTACATTTTTTCCATGACGACCACAACAACAAATAGCCTCAGGCACTTTTCTGTAAAATTACTTCTTCACTCGCTAACGGTACCACGCATGGAGATTAAACTTAGTACAAATGCGTGTAATATAATTTCCATGAGAACCACTTTGTTTGAACAACAAATATCCTCAGGCAATTTTCTTAAGAATTACTCTTCGCTTCTCAAACTCGCTAAAGATAGCACGCATGCAGATGAAACTTGGTACACATGCGTATTGCATTATTTCCATGACAACTAAATGTTTCTATGACAACTGCATTGTTCAAATAGCTTCAGGCACTTCTCCTCAAACTTGCTAACGGTAGCACGCATGGAGATGAAACTTGGTATATGCATGCAGGTTACCATGACAACTTCATGTTTCCATGATGACCACATATTGTTTGAACATCAAGTAGCTTCAATGACTTAGTAATCTAGTGAGTCACAACGGAACTTGAAAGTGATCACTGACACGACACTATATTCTGTCACTGTTACGGTGCAGGCTAATCCCTGATCTAGTGGTAAGATCAATCAACCCTGCTATCGTAATGTTGTTATGAGTGCTCAGAGATGCATTACAACAAAATATTATTTCTGTAACAGTCGTAGTGCTTCAGTTAGATATTCTATCGCTCCAACTACATCGTCATAGTCCAGAGCTGAGCTGGCAAATTTGCACTTCTTCTGGGCCTCACTGATGACCTCTGGTGACAAACTAAGCAGAGAAGGGAATTTAGACCACTGATTAAAATGAAAAACACTTAATACCTGCTGAGAGGCTCTCCAACTACAGGGGGCACTCCAACTCCAGCTCCTTCAGGGGGGTACTCCAGCTGGCTGAGGGGGTACTCCACTCCAGCTGGCTGAGGGGGTACCCAAACTCCAGCTGGCTGAGGGGGTACTCCAACTCCAGCTGGCTGAGGGGGTACTCCAACTCCAGCTGGCTGAGGGGGTACCCAAACTCCAGCTGGTTGAGGGGGTACCCAAACTCCAGCTGGCTGAAGGGGTTACTCCAGCTGGCTGAGGGGGTACTCCAACCTCTGGGTGAAAGCTACGTGGTTTGGGGGTTGGCTTGGTTTCTGAAAGACCTCCAGCATCTGGTGTGGTGTCTTCAGGAGGGGGCGTGGGCTGGATGCCATTCTTCAGACATCGGTCAATCTCCACAGCTCTCCACATGGCGTACTTTTGTTTGGTCTCGATCTATATACCAGAAGTGTACAATCCTCAAAAATGTGCATTTGAGAAAATACCTCTTCATTCAATTCCTCCAGTCCTTTCACAATTCCAAACATGTGAAATGATGTGAAGTATGCCTTTACCATGTTTCTGCACCAAACTCAATAAAGTGATATAAGTTTAGCAAATGCAAAGTGAGTTAGGTACTTGTGATAGTTGCCACTCCTGTCTTCTTTGTCAGCATATGAAAAGAGATGCAGCCCTGCTTCTTCTACATGTGTTGCGCCAACCAGTTCATTGCTCAGTTCCTTGCTTAGCTCATCCGTTTCTCTCAGGTTACCCTTCATCTGCAGTTTGTTACACAGTTTAGACATGTCCACATCCATGTACTTCCAACCTCCTCCAGAACATCCAGTAGGGTAGTTAAGTAAGCTTTGGACTCCGCTTTTACTGCAGCGTCACGCCCAGGAGCATTGATTCCTTGGATACCTTCTCTTACGGCGTGCTTTAGGGCTGAAATGAAGCAGAATTTGGCATAATGTGTCCATTCAAATTCGCCTCCTGACCTACCAAAGTAGGAAACCACAGGATCTCTCTTTATGAACTGCTTATAAATCGTCAAAAACGGCTGTATGGAGCGTAAGCCCCCGGGTGGCTTTCCCAAATCCATCGACGCGAAGAGACACTGTGGGTGGGTGGAGTTAAATGTCATGTGATCGTCATGTGCACCCCGCACCCGTAGAACGTCACGCCCACGGAGAGAACTAGCTGTCAGCCATGGAAGAGAACGACGCACAGCCAACGCTGCAGGTGTCACCCGGTGCACTGCTGTCCGACCAACCACGTTCGAAAGAAGGCAAACGAGAAAAGAGGAAGGGGGGAGGACTATCCCTAGGGCGAACCAAGCCGCGGGACTCGGCTACTGAGAAGGTGTACAAGAAGGGAAAGCACACAAGGAACAAGTCTGGCTCTCGCACACCTCCGGACTCGCCTAGGGGAGACCGAACTGCTCGTGGAGGAAAGACTCAGCCGTCACCTAACGTCAAGGGCCACCGCAAACGCTACTCGCAGTTAGGCTTGGACTTGTCTAGTGCTGAGAGTGAGGAGGAAGGCGAGGAGGAGGGTGAGGAGGGACAGACCTACTTCGCCAACCAGGTAATGATGGCTCATTGCCCTGCTGGCCTTACTAGTATTAATGTGCTTGCAGGCTGCTTCCGACATTAGTGGCAGTGCAAGATCTAATGAACCATTCTTCACTATCGGTAAGATAAAAAGCCTTTGTGTACAGTCTCATTGGGTGAATGAATGTATAGAGAGAGAAACGAAACCCAGTCAACCAACATCACCAGGTGAGTGGAAGATTGTGATATAGAGAGTTGTCAGCTCACTGGTTCCTCAGGTCCAAGGAGTACAATTCAGTTCCCGGTCCAGTTTGAGGAGTTGGGGGGCGGCGGTCTGTCGCTGGTATCTACTTTTGAACCCCAGCTTCCCCAGTCTGGAGATCCCGCTGTTCTTCCTCCTACTCATCCCCTCCTCCCCACCCCTGATGTTGGTGCCTGGAGCCCCGCCTTTTCGGCCCCTCCCACCTCAGAGCCAGCGACAAACGAGGCCGGTATTGAGAAGGCAAAGGAGCAGAAAGTTCCAGAAGCTGAGTGGAGAGTATCAGTTGAACTGCGACTCAAGTGCCGTAAGCAGTTCATGGACCTCCATCCAATACACGGGAGACTGCAGGGAGACCAGGCACGCTCTTTCTTTATCCAGTCTCGTCTTCCAAACTCTGACTTGTCAGCCATCTGGTGGGTGAACCTTCTGTTAGTAAGTCTACTGTGAACTTGAGTGTGGGCAGGAGACTGGCGGACGTGGACAGAGACAATGCCCTGTCAGAGGAGGAGTTCTGTGTAGCCATGAAACTGGTTCTGCTGCGGAGGAAGGGCTACAGTCTCCCCACAACTGTCCCCCTGAGTCTGAAGGACAGTGCTACATCTGGTGAGGATGTTCTTTTCTTCAGGCATCCACTCTCTCTCTCTCCTGTTACCTGCAGAGCCTCGCAGGAAGTTAGGTTCTCTGCAGGCCAGCCACACAGTAGGGGAGCTGCCTTTCCCCAACCTCTCACAGCCAGGGGGCCTTCTGGTGGAAGTTGCTGAGAGTGAGCTTCATGACTCCTCACTCACCAGCACTGCAGTGGAGAGAGGGGAGCCAGCTGTTGCTACCATCATCTCTCTCAATGATGACAATGAAGGGCCCACATCTGACAAGGACACTTCAACCCCCAGTGTCCGCAGAGCTCTGAGTCTGAAGCAATTTTCCCCTCCTCCAGTGGAGACAGATAGAGGCCACACCAGCCCACCTGCCTCTCCATTCTCACCCCCTGCCTCCACAGAAACTGCTCCCATCATCTTCTTCCAAAACCCTAGTCCAAAGGTACACGGTTTCTTCCAGTTGTGTTCCGTTCCTAGTGTTGCCCTCTGCAGCACCCACATCTTAGCAAGGCTGCTGCAGCTGTGTCAAAGTCTGGCTACCACAAGCTCTCAGGGGCTGGGGAAGATGAGGAGGGAGAAGAGAGTAAAGAGCTGAAGCAACCAATGATCAGTAGGGAGAGGGGACATGGCCGCTCCACCAGTCTAGATCTGAACAAGATGATTCCTGGCTCCAGTGTCCTCAGTGACATGCCGGCTGCTGAACCTCCCAGACCCCCTCCAGTCTGTTCTGCCTCCAATGATTAATTCCCTGCCTATATCTCCCCTCGTTCCCCTCTCTATAGAAGCCAGTGGCAGAAGACAGTGACTTGCCACCTCAGACACGTGGTCGCTCAGCCTCAACTGGCTCCATATCATCCACTGGACCTTCTCTTCCACCACCCAGCATTGACTCTTCCACTAATGCTCTTCTTCTTCCCGGGACAGCTCGCCCTCCGCCTCCTGCCCACAAAGTTCCACTACTCCCTCCTGTTCCCAAGCCACGCAGACCTCCTCCTCCAAAGAGGGAGGCCAAGGAACCGCCTCCTGACGAAAGCTTGAGGTATGAACCTTCACTATTGGATATAGCCTCCAGGCTGAACTATGATTGAGGTTTTTAATGACGTCAGGGAGAGAAAGAAAATGACGTCTCACGGCCCATAGATTCTTCTTTTGTCCCACATCTGTTTACATCACACACAGGCCGATCTGTCGGTCGACTGTTATCTCTGAGTGTTCAAATTCTTGCTGTCACTCTTGCAGCCTGTTACGAGACAAGTCTGAACTACAGACAACAATTCGTTCCTTAAAAGACACAAACGCAACTCTCCAAGCCCTAAACAGAGAACTTGAGGAAAAATTATTTCGGGTAAAGATCGATTCTTGTAACTAGCGATTGGTGGCTTATTGTCTCTTTTCCCACACATAATATAATTATAGCTGATGGAAGATCGAGTGCAGTTGGCAAGAGAAGTGGAACTGGCAAGACAAATGCAGACTAGTTCTTAGCAACACCATAACCACATTATGAATTACATCATCACCTCAATCACAAATTCACAATACACCTCAAAATTTTTGTTTCAACTCTGGATAATTTCTGGTGATGTTAGCGGCTCTCTATAGGGAGCATAATAACCATGCACGGTAATATAACGTCAGAAACTCATGATCAGTGAACTCACTCTGTTTGCTGTGGCTTCCAGTTTGGGTCGAAGTTCTTCCTAAGGCCTTGCCAGCACCTGTAGTAACTGCCATCCAGCTTGGAGCAGCCGTTCTGCCCCCACTGAGTCACTGCCATGCTGAATGAGCTCTCAAACATGAATGCCATCGTCCCCTCCAACTTGGTTGGACGCAACTCCACACAACTCGCCTTCTCAAAGGCCTCCTGGTCTGGACCATGAGGAGTCATCATGCTGTGCAGACTGGCACCTCCAGGAGCAAACCCCTCCTCCTTGGCCTGGTAGCGCCCATACAGTAGACCCATGAACTCACTCATACAGTTGCCTGCAAGCACAAAATATCACATCAGCTCCTGCAGACTATCAAACAACTTACGGTGGTACCAAGGGGGTCGGAACGTGTGCTCCTGGACGCTCCACTGAGGAGGGAAGATGACAAAATCAGCCACTGCCACACCAGGGGTGTTGCTGGGGCACGTGAGGACAGTGAAGATGGAGGGATCCTATGGAGACCAGCAGTCTCTTCCTCTCACTCAACAACAGTTATGTTACTCACCGCATGGTCAAATGAGACAGCGTTGACCACCATGAACTTTGCTAGGTCATACTTATACGGATAGTAGTTTCCATGCCAGGCCACAACGTCAAATGGAGAATGGTCCTGGGAGAAGAGAGAGGACGGGTTGGAAGCTACACCCACCGAAACACATACCTGTCTGCTGGAGAAGAGAGAACCCTGAAACTTGGAGACCACCAGATAGTCTACGCTGTCCACATCTTCAAACCATGCCACAGGACTCAGGAAATCACGAGGATTGGCAAGCCCATTGGCTCCTGTATGGGGAAACTGGCAGTGAAGCCCGCTATCCAGATATCACAACCCACCAATAGGCCCAAGGTCTGGCAGCTGGAAGTGTGTGTTGAAGACCTCCAGAATGTAGCCTCTACTGGGTGCACTGACCTGGACACTGAACCGCATGCCTTGCTGGAAGGTAACGAGCATACCGTTTCCTGCAAGTGGGACAGACATATGTACCTGAACCACCAAGATCTCCCGGGGCTGCACATGGAGCTGGCCAAACTCAGTCAAGATGTGTAGGTCTCCAGTCTGGGGGACTGCAAACAACAGACTGCGAGCCAATTCACAGTCTTGCATTACCTATTAGAAAATCTCCATCTGCATTGTAGAAACACTTGTTCTTCATCGACTGGTTACAGGCATAGACATGAACAGCCACCCCAGATCTAGCTTTTGGGTCTCCAGCTCCACACACTGTAGCCAATCCCTCCACAAAGTCAGCCGGGTTCTTTGGCAGGTCAAACGGCTGCCATCGCAGCTGTAGACAGAAGACTAAACACTATCGTACAAACTGCCATCAATGAACAGTACCTGGTTTGGATTGGGAGGACACGCTCTGAAGTCGTTGGTAAAAGTACTCTGGGTTAGAGCTTTGAATGGGTCGTGGACAACACTTGGTCGGATTCTGTACAACCAACTGAATGGCAGACACCACATCACGACAAGCACTGGAAAATAATGGCAACCTCCTGCGGTTGGTGCTCCTAGGACAGGTGAAGGCCGTCCCTGACAACTGCTCACAGTACAATCCGTACGGGCAGACTTGAGGGTTGTTCTGCACGGCAACGAACGTTATAGTCCCGCAGGAACATTACAGGGCCGAACCTGTCCTTTGGGAAGAGCGTGGGGAAGAGCTTCTGAGCAGATCTCACTGCAGAAGCCAAGATGATACCGTAGCTCGCCCATCTTCGCCATCCCCCAGCTTGTAGCGCACACACGTACACGCCGAACGCTGAAGTGCGCGTGCGCAATTAGGTTACGATAGAGCTAGAGGTGAGGGCTTACACTATGATACAGAAAACAACACACACTACGCTGCTGCAGTTCCTTTTTTCTTTCTCCTCTCTTTAACGTCCCAGTTGTAGACACGTGCCATACCTGGAGATGTGGTAAGCAACCAAACACCAACACCTATAACTTACACTTACCAACTTCAAGAGTTGTACACTGGTCTCTAATGTGGTCCATGTCTTGGTCCACCTGTCGCAGACTACTCTCTGCCTGTGTCAGATTCCTGGACAGCAACTGCTCAGCTGCATCAATCGGGTACTCCAGCATGACGTTAGCCTGTGGAACAAACAGTCTTATGCCTGAACAAACAGACAGCACCACACACACACCCCAAGCCAAAGAAGAACAGAGCTGGTTGGAGGAATTTCTGCACTGGCAAACACTCCCTCAGATAGCATGAAATGACTGGTGTGAGTGTCAGAGCTGGTCTGCAGTGATAAAACAACTGTGCCACACTGGCAGGAGATTTTATGCTTCATCACACCTGCCGGCTCTTCAGAAACTTCACAACATCCAGTGTCTTTTGAATGTCAGGGATCTGAGCCTTGAGTCTCTGCTTCTTCTGCCTCAGATTGGCCTCCATGAACTTGTACTTGTTGTGCTGCTCGTCAAACCTCCGGAGAACAACTTCTGCTGAAGTGTTGCCAGGCAATTGCATGAACTCCTCCACATCTTCCTGGAACAGGAAGGTATTGAGCCATTTCCCTCCTCCTGATAACTATGACATACAACAAATACAGCCTCGGGGATGCCTGCAGATTTCTCTCCGTTTATGTCTTCGTCCCTCCCTGACACGTGCTCCGCCTCCGCCGCCATGAGAAGAATAAATTCACGCGCATGCGCAAAACATCATAAACTGAAGCACCAATGTCAGTATAGATTAGAGGAGGGTGTAGCAGCTTGCAACTGAAAGTGTTGTTCTTGTCTTTGTCTATCTTCTCTCTTGGCAAGACCTGAAATAAACCAATAGTAAAATAACAGATTGTACATGCTGTGGTACCTTCAAGTGCACTGTGGTGAGCTCCTCTAGACCCAAAGCCTGAGCCTAACTTTCTTAGGGAGCTGTACTGGTGAAGGTCTTGAACCACCTGCAAAAGGCCACGATATCAGAGTGTAATAATTACATTAACTGCAATAATAGCGCTCACTTCTCTCTCCACTGTCCTAGCCATGTGGGTGCCATGCAAGTCCAGAACTTGGAGTGTCCTGTTGGTTCTACAGAGTACAGACGTGAGTTGTTGCCCTCCTCATCTCCAAAAGGGTTGTCAGCAATGAGGAGCATCTCTAGTCCAGTGTACCTCCAGAGCTGAGGCCAGCTGTACCACAGCTCTGTCTCCTGTTTAAAGTAACGTTCTGCCCTAGAATGTCTGTCACATTTGGCAGACAATGCCATATCAAGACCTTATCTAGAATGTCTAGATCAATGATTATGACATTTTTCGAGACAATGCCATCGTCAAGAGCTTATATTCTGTGGCCCATTCCCAGGTCTCCAGCTTTGAAAATCATGCAGCAGCAATAGCTATAGTTGCTTAACCTAAAAGATTGCTGGAGAGTAACAGCTTCTTCAACGTCTGGTTGTGGTCAAAATCTATGCTAGAGCTCTTCCTCCATCATAGCTGAAGAAACAAATTTAATGTATATACTGTCAGTCTGGAACACAGGGTTGCTGGCCATACCAATCTGGTTCCCACCAAGACCAAGGGAGCGCAGTCTCCGGTTCACTCTGAGAGCAAGGGCAAGGTGAGCAGCCCCTTCATTATGAATCTCATTCCCCCCTAGTCCAAGAGACTGCAAACAGCACATGTTTCCTGTAGCAGAAAGCACCATGTTCATGAATGCCAAGAGTGTTCTGAGTGGTGCCAACAGCTTACCTGCAGAAGACCTGCCAGGTCAGGCTCACTCTGTCCCCCACCTCATTGCCTCCCAGTCCCAGCCACAGCAGGGAGCTGTTGGTCTGCAGAGCCTCAGACAGAGCCCATGCTCCCTCCACCCCCACCTTGTTACTGCCCAGCCCGAGCCACAGAAGGCTCTTGTTGGCTTGTAGACCATTGGCAATGCTTTGTGCCCCTGCTGGCCCCACCTCATTCTGCAAAGGAGAAAGCCCCTCTAGCTTGAAGTTAAACTTGAGGCACTCCCCAAGGAGTAGCCCACTCCTGTCAGTGAGTCCATTGTTACCCAGCTCCAAACTCACAATGTTCTGTTGCGACATAATGCTGCCCGAAAAGTGAAATAATTTCGACTGGCACCGACCACTTACATAGTTGAAATTTACCATTTACAAATTGGTTCCAAGCCATCATCTCCTAGGCTGCAGCCATTCAGAATCAAATGTTCCAATACTTGGTTAGTCTCCAAAACACTGGCTAAGCACTGAGGGCATCCCAGTTCACCGATCTAACGTACATTATATCCCACAGAGCCATGTGTAGAGTAACAAACACAGAGCTTACGAGTCGTGTAGAGAGGCTGAGTCGTCGAATGCTGCAGGGGAGAGGACAGAGTTGCACAGCACGGCACAACGTGTTGCACGCCGCCAGGCGTCAGCTCGCACCCTGCAAGACTCAGCTTCTGCACCACGCTGCAACGAGTATGCGGACCGTCTAGACCCACCCACGTTTTCCAGCCCCAAGGCACACCGTTCTGTCGCAGAGCCTCCGAGAGCTTCGGACTTCCTTCTCTGTCAGTCGAACACCGCCAAGACTCCATACACGTCGTTGTAGGCTCGTTCCCCTCGAGGCTCTCGTTATCTCTGTTCTTCGAGATCCGGCCACACCATCGTCGTATTTACTGCTGGCAACCCCGTCAGCTATTCACCCGTAAAAGTAAAGACATTCATACGACCGGTAATAGGACGCTCTTGTCGTTCAGTTCAGTCCACACCATCGGCATAGCCACAACCAGCACAATAGATGAGCACTGCCAAATACACATTAGTGGGGATATTGATACATCGCCAACATCATTCGATGAAAACAATTAATGATTCAGGCCAAGAATGATGCACAGCCAATTGATACATAGTTACAAAAGATAACAATGATCGTGCGACACTGGGCAAAACGTACGATCGACTATGTACAAGAGTTGATAGTGCATTCACCTCGGGGGAGGATGGGGAAGGAGACTGAGACAATCAGTAACGGCTCTCTCAGTTGGCCTTAGCACCTTCATTCCCCTAACCAGCAAAGGAAAGAAGTAACGTTGCCAGAAAACTTGTCACCATCTTCATTTTCTCCCTCCATTAACACCTCTCCACCATCCCCTAACAATTGGCACTGTCTCTTTGTCAGTGGAGTGTTGAAAAATACGTCTCAACTCCTTGCTTTCGTCGTGCCAACTGCACAAAACAAAATGTTAAAAAACTACCACCGGCGGGTGGTAAATACCTCCCACAACTATAGGTGGGGGAATTTAGCCAACTGTGCCTACATGCAGACCAAAGCATGGGCGCAGACTCCTAGTCTCCTCCGGTACAGCAAAGTCAGGTAGTCTGTTTTGTCAGAGCAGTTCACATGACGAGTTGGACGTGGCAACGGTTGTCTGCAGGGCTTGTACTTTCATGGAAGTGAGTGGACAAAATAAAACCAAACCACTCCACCTTCGCAGCAATGTGACTGAAGATGTTGAGGAGAAGAAAGGTTAAGGAGGAAAGCAACAAAATTGACAATCAGGACATTACTGAGAGATGGTCCCGGCAAGACCAAAGGCTCATACGTGGAAGTTCATGCGGCCAGTTCGTCAATAAGCCCCAGAGAGTTCTAGGGCTGTCTGCCGGAGGCAGGAGAGGAAGTAGGAAAGTAAGTTCAGGAGAGACATGGAGGAGCATCAAGCCAGACTGACTGTGGCTGCCAGCAATCTGGCATGAATGTTGAGATTCCCTTATCTGCGTCGCTTGCCCCGACTCTCGGCCAGAATACGGTCCACCACACATACTTGGCGAGGAGCCGGGAACGAGCAGCCCACCTGTGCAATCACACCGCCACCCCCCCCCCCCACCCACCAACCACCAATCCAGGGAAACAGCAACCGGCGAGATCTTAGTTCTAGGAAGAAATGTAGAAACATCTGTGTATGTAGGTGGATTTGGCCACCCGTTTGGGCCAGTTATAATTGGCAATCAGTCTCCCCTGTATCACAGCCGCAGGAGAACAAACACGAGGGGGAGTAGCTTCACCTTTCGGGAATTAGGACATTAACACATTGGAGAGAAAGGAACTATCATCGGTGATCAATACACGGAGGACGACAGTACTCAGTTAATATTCCTCTCCCGTAATGGGCAGATGAATCAGGGTTGAGTTGGTGCAACTTCACCAGAGCTGGAGAGAAGGTCGCACATATGGGAGTTGGGCGCAACTTGCAGACGTGAGACAAAGCTATGCACAGACACACAAACAATGTGGCAAGCAAGGAGGGAGGGGAGGAAACTGACATGACGCCAGCACATCCATCCTGGCCAGGAGAGAACTAAGGCTTGCCAATGTTATGCAAATCCAGAAATGGCCAGCCACAATCCTCAGCGATGGCGGTCTGCACGTGGTGCACCTATACGCAGATCCGGTATGCTCAATGAGAGAGCGGAGCTGAGAGGTGTTGAGAAACTAACTACGTTCATCATGGTTCCTAGAGTTAGATAACCTCCGCTGGGCCGCCTAGCTAGTACCTTTCTTCCACTTCAGTTCAACCCACAGTAACAAGCACCAAACCTCTATTCACTCTTTCTTTACCTTCTTTGTGCACTAGGAGGAAGTGGCCAAGGTGTTCGTGTGATGATGCACTGTCTAGTCTTATGGTCTTGTTTGCGTCACAGTCACAAGCTCTTCTGCTACCTTCTGGAGTTCCATTTGATCTCTTTCCACTTCGTCATCTCCTCCCGACAGCTCTTGGGCACCTAACAAGACCCTCACTCACCTCTGAGAAGGACGGTGGTTACCTTGGAGCCCCGGATCAACGAAGACCTAATGACAAACCGTGGATGTCGCCACCAGATCGCAGGGTCTATAGTTGTCTTCACTAACTCCACAGTTTCTGATCTCGGCTTGCAGCTAGGTAAAAGGGGAGACATGAGAACCTCCTTGAAATGTGTGTCATGGCTACTATCATGAGATTTTCAGAAATGG